TTCCTTGCATGCTTTTGCTCGGGACTGACCCAGCATCCCTTCGGCCTTGGCCGAGATGTTCCGGGGCAGGGTCCACTTGGCCACGTACTCGTCGGCGATTTCCCAGAGATTGGGAAACTGCTTCTGCAAAGCTTCCAAAACAAGCCAGGTCACTGTCTGGAAGACACCGGAGACCAGCAGGGTGTGCATGCTGTCGTGGCAATACTGTGAGACCGGCCGAACCAGCCATCGTTGATCCTCTTGTTGCAGCAGGGAACAACTATTATAAGTCCAGCCGGTGGCTTGCTGCCACGTGCTGAAATCTGCAGCATTCAGAAGCATCTTCTTCTCTGCCAGTTTAGCCATGGCCTCGTGGATGGATTGGTCGGTCGCAAGCGAAAGCTTACTTTCTCGGATCTCAGAGGAACCGACCACGGGGAGCCCGCTGCTGTGCAGGATATCACATCGTTGTGCTATTACATTCCTGCACAGCATGCACATGCGGGTGCCAGCATCCCCCTTGCAGCTCCATAGAGCTTTATGGGCACCACCGTCTTGAACGATCATTGACAAAACCACCCGGAAGAGGACGGGCGGACCTCCTGGTCGCTGCAACGATATGCACCCGTGCTCCAAATGGTTGGCCGGCCGCATGAATATGTCTCGCAGGATTTTCGAGATCCATTGAGAGACACCTGCTTCGGCCTTGGCCATCAGGCTGGATCGGAGCAGTCCTATGCATAGCCACGACTCCTCGTGCTGCAATGCATAGCTTCCAAGTTCTACGAACGAGGCATAGCAAGCCCAGATTTTTCTCTTCGTCTGGACTGCCAAAGGATTACCCGGCACGATCTCGTCCGTATAGAGGATCAGCCGCCACGCCGAGCTGGGGCTCGGAGGATTCTTGTCGATGCACGCCCAAAAATATTGGGCGAAGTTGCTGTCGGCATCCGAGATAGCAGCTTGCAGCAGAGCCCAAAAATCGACACTGGGTATCTGCAGCTCTGCACCATCTGTCTGCAAAAGTGACAGACGATTGAGGATCCTATTTTCTTTCAGGGGTTGCCAGGCAGCCTCGGCTATATGTTTTCTTTGTATGAGTTCCGGGACACCCTCGTCCCGGAGAACTTTGCAAACTTCGGACAAAGCCGAGGCTGTGAGATGGGGCAATTTCCTTCTCAGAGCACACCTTCTGAAGCTTCGCTGGTCTTTCAGCAAAAGCATCGGTGCTGCTGGAGGCCATGGCCCTATATCACCACGGCACCGCACCAACAGCAAATGCCGGAACATCTCCGTGGAGAGTTCCTTCTTCTCCCTGTGCATGCAGCAGCAAGCAGCCACATACACGCCTCCGTGGAGGCTTCCACACGCCTCCGTGGAGGCTCCCACACGCCTCCGTGGAGGCTTCCACACGCCTCCGTGGAGGCTTCTCGCATCCTTGGATGCTGGGTCTCCATGGCAACAACAAACCAAGCTACAGGACGGGTGACACAACAAATGGCACCAGGAAGGGGTGCCTGTCTGCGAACACAACTGCACCTAACCTTGTCTGTGCTCGACTCTGGGCATCTGTACGCATGCTGCACGGCTGCTTGGGCCCGGCTTTCCGCTGCTCAGAGAACACATTTCGGCAGGCCCACAAAACCCCCAAAATATGATATAGAAAAAACTATATCATATGAAAACAAAGTCAATCATATGATATAGCAGAAACTATATCATATGAGGCCAAAATATTACATATGATATAGAAAAAACTATATCATATGACATCTGGCCCCACAGACTTAGATGATATAGTAGAAACTATATCATATGGCCAGCGAGGCCATCATATGATATAGAATATGCTATATCATATGGTTTCCTTTCAATATATATGATATAGAAAAAACTATATCATATTTTCTACGTTTGGAAAAGGTTCCAATCTTAAGGTTAACAGAAAATTATTCTTTAACAAAAACCCTAAACCCTAAACCCTAGAAGAGAAAAAAGCGCGGAGACACTCTTTTTTTCACCACACGGCAGCCGGCACTCTGTTTTTTTCGGAAGACGGCCAGCCGTCACTCTGTTTTTTTCGGAAGACGGCAGGCGGCTGTGCCGAGCTAGTACCGCTGCCTCAGCTCGTGACAAGCTATCTGAAAGAGGCTCGTCACCACTTTGCCGTAGCTCTCCGGGCCGCCTCCTTCGGGATCCTCCGGGTCCTTCTTGTCCGGCATTGGGACGTGATCACTGTCCCTTACCGGCGACTCCTGTCGCTTTCGCTTGGCCTTAGCCTTGCTGCCCTTAGCCTTGCTGCCCTTCTTCTTGTCCTGGCCGGTCTTGCCAGCCTTAGCTGGCAAACTCCTGGGCAAAAGCTTCACCGGCTTTCGATCCTCTTTGTCATCCTCGGGGTCAATCAGGGAGATTGTCTCTCCTGCCCCCGGCTTCTTTCTCTTCTTCGTGCCCTTAGCCTGCTCAGGACGGCCCTTCTCAGCTTCGGCATGCGCCTTGGCCCCCGAGGGGCCGGAGCCGCCTCTCACATCACCATAGCCATATCCCTGGCCCCTTGTTGCCGGAATCCCGCTGCAGCTCCCACTTTGGGACTTCGGATTCCTCTTCGCTCTCCTCTTCCCTCCCGGGCTGGCAGTGCTCCTGGAACCGGCGCTTTGCCCGGCCTGCAGCAGCCTCCTTGCTGAGCCCTTGGGCTATGTATTTCCAAGTTCGGTGAAACACCGACAATCGGTGCTGGCGACGGGCGGCCGCATGCTCCTGGATCCACCTCCAGCAAATGGGGCACTTTTTGGACGGGCCCTTGGGCCCGTCCGAAGGCTTGTTGTCCTTCTTCTCATCTGCTGCCTTCTCATTTGCCCCCTTCAATTTTTCATCCACCTCCTTGTCCTTTTTCTCTGCTCTCTCTCGTTCGCTTATCTTTTCATCCTTCTCCTTCTCCTTTTTATCCTTCTTTCCCTTTTTTTCTCCTTCTTTTCCTTTCTGGCCTGCTCTTCTTCTGGCCACAGTTTCCTCCTCAAAGTTCTCCTCCTCCTCTTTCTTCTTCTCGTTCTCCTCTGGCTTTTTGTTGCCATCCTCCTCCTTTTTCTTTTGGTCCTCGGACTCTTCGTGAGATCTCGACCGTAGTCGAGGATCTCGTCGTTCTTCTCTATCCTCTGAGCTCGAGCTCCTCCTCCTTCTATCCTGGTCCCGGTGCTTGGGCATGGCCGACGACTTCGCCTGGCCAGGACAAAAAAAGGGTTTATAGAGGATCGGGGAGGGTATAGGGTTTAGGGAAGATCCCTTAAGCCAGACTCTTTTTAGCACATGTATATATATATATACATATAGTATTTGGTGCATGCCGTGGCATGCACCCACGAGGAAACCGTGGTCTCCTCTCCCAAAGCAAAGCAAACCGTGGTCTGCTTGCTTTGCATGCTTGCCAGCAGATGCAAACAAACCTTGGTCTGCCTGCATTCTGCCGGCCAGCACGGTTGCCGAAAAGCAACCCCTGCATGCATCACTGACTAAGCAAACCGTAGTCTGCTAGCCAGCTCTGCAGGAGACCGTGGTCTCCTCTCACAGACAGATGGCAAACCGTGGTGCACCACAATTATAAGGAGACCGTAGTCTCCCGGCTTTGTCCAGGAAACCGCAGTCTCCCGGGCTGCCTATAGTTATATATCTATATCTGTATATATTGGAAGTCTCCTCTAACACGTTTTCTTTATAGGATATTATGCATTCTTCTCCTTCTGACCACTACACAGACTATACATTCTTTCTGGGTGCAATTATGCAGTCTTTGTTGTGCGGAAATACAGAATTGTACAATCTTGTCCTGGTGCATTATACAGTCTCCCTTGGTGCATGAGTTCAAACATGAATATGAATATACATATAATCTCTCGTGGTACGGCTACTCGCTCCAGCACCGCCTATGCCCGCGGATACGTTCCCTTTTAATCGACCCATCCCCTACACGGCCCTGTCGCCCATATTAGTCCAACAACTGCAAACCAAGCGGCAGACCTGCAAGCAAAGGTCAGACGACGTGGCGGTGGTGGTGGTGGTGGTGGTGGTGGTGGTGGTGGTGGTGGTGGTGGTGGTGGTGGTGGTGGTGGTGGTGGTGGTGGTGTTGGTGGCGGTGGCGGTGGTGGTGGTGGTCGCACCCCGGTTGCCACCCCCATCCCAGGACGGGGGCGGGGAACCGCTTTACGATTTCCCTTTTCGGGTGCGACCTGTGGCGGTGGTGGTGGTGGTGGTGGTGTTGGTGGCGGTGGCGGTGGTGGTGGTGGTCGCACCCCGGTTGCCACCCCCATCCCAGGACGGGGGCGGGGAACCGCTTTACGATTTCCCTTTTCGGGTGCGACCTGTGGCGGTGGTGGTGGTGGTGGTGGTGGTGGTGGCGGTGGCGGTGGCGGTGACGATGGTAGAGAAATAGGGTGGTGGCGGTGGTTGTGCTGGTAATGATGGTAGCAGTAAAAGTAAAAGGACTGGTGGTGGTGGTCGTGGTCTGGGTGATTGGTAACAGGAGTGAAAACTGTGTTGATTGGTGACAGTGATGGGGGTGAGATAGCAGATAGCAGTGCAAGCAGCGATCCGAAATCCCGTCAGTGTCGTTTCCTCGTCGGACTGATCAATCCGTCAATCCTTAGTCGGATGTAGCCGTGAGCCTGGAGTATCGAATCTTAGATTCGAAGACTCAGTTGCCCACTTGGGAAGTAATGGCCCCAATTGACCCCATAGGTAAAGATACAGACGTCGTATGCATCGGCGTACTTGTTGTACCCCTGTCGCACAGACATCACCCCCTGGCTGTTGTCACCAGGTCGACTGAAACCATCCCGCAAAAATCGGCCCCGAACTTGAAGCTTAAAGCAAACACTTAAAAGACGGCTTAGGCTTAGACGGCTTAGCGGCTTAGAGTTTAAGGGTTTGGCCCTTTGGCTGTATGTGTAGGCAGGGTTTATGGTTCAAAGTTAAAGGGCAACTTAGTTGGACCAACGGCGGATGGATCTAACCACATACCATGCGCTATCTCCTCACTTTCCCTTGATCGCAGCAGCCTTCTTGACCAGAAGTGGCTCACACTTGATGTTCTTCTTTTGAAAGGCTCCAAGGCATCGGCTTACCAAGCCCATCCGTGTCTCACCGGGCTGCAGGTCTCTGCAAAGAGCTTGGGCAAGGGTCATGTTCGATTGCAAGGCTCGGAGCTGAGCCATTGTGATCATCGCACCCGCCTCGCTGCATGACACCTCCACGTCCTGGGCAAGCAATTTCTTCGCATCGGTCACGACACCGCTAACCAATGCCTTGGAAGCTTCACCCACCCACGAAGGAGTCGGCAATCCTTGCACATCCTGCAAGAGCCCGATCAAGTCGATGAAGAATCGTTCTGTTTTACTGGAAGTCATAGCAATCTGCCTCATGGAGGGGTCCAAACACAAAGCTTCAACAGCCTTCTTGTCAAGGACCTCTTGTGCGAACATGTCTAGGCTATGTTTGCTGGCAACCTGTTGGTACAGGCTTGCAAGCGAAAGCTGCACATCCCCGATCTCCCTGCCAAAATTGCCAATGACATCAGCAACGTGGTCCTTCATGATTTTCTGGAGCTGCTTGTAGTAGGCGTCGATGCCGTCGAGCTCGCCGACGATCTCGCGGGAAGCGGACAGCATGGCCTCGAAATCCACCACAGCCTTATGGAACTTGGGCAAAACAGAACGGATGCACTGGAGCTTCGAACTCCTGTTCTCATCCCAATTGAAAGTCTTCTTGTCCGCCGCGGTTGCAAACTTTGACAAGATCTCATTGAAGCCCGGAAACTTGTCGTTCGTGACCATGCAATGCTTGAAGAAAGCAACCATCTTAGCGACCGTTAGAAGAGCTCCAGCCAGGCACGGGAAGACTGCATGGACTCGCCTGGACTTCCCCTCCTGGGCGCCGTGCACGGCGATGTCCACAAGCTCCTTGCCGATGTGCTTGACATAGGAGTGGAAAACGAAGCCGAAGTTCAAATTCTGCTTGCAATCCTGTGTTTCCCCTGCGGCTGTCTCCGACAAAGAGGTCGTGTCACCCAGAACATCTACACTAAGCGAAGCATCAGCATTGACTTCTGGCTGCAACAACTGCTCCAGGAAGGCGGCGTATGTGGCAGATGTCTGTGCGAGCCATCCGCAAATGGATCTTGTCATGCCTTCTTGTAGAAGAGAGAAGGAAACTTCGAGGAACGGCACGGTGCGGCCAATCACTTTCTTTGACCCAGCATCAAAGAAGATCGCAAAGACATCCGCCAGCGGCTGGTCGGCGAGCATCTCCTCATTCGTGGTTTTTTTGGCGATGAAATCTGCGACCTGGGGGAACGCCGCCTGGAGGCTCGTGGCACACTTTGCCACCGTCTGTACGATGCCATCCAACTCCTGAGAAGTGTATTTGGAACCCTAAGCCTAAACCCTTAGCCTAAACCCTAAACCCTAAGCCGAAGCCTGAGCCCTACACCCCAAACCCAAAGTCCCAAAAACCTGAACCTAAACCTAAACCGAAAACTTAAGTCAACGAACCCTTCAACACCCCATTGCCACTACCCAGTCCCCTCGATGCCTCAGCCAGCGTCTTGCCCAAGATCTTCACAAGACCGACTTTACTGAAAGGCTGGAAAGCGCTCAGCTGTGCGAATGATGTGGAAATGGATGATGTCAAGCCAGTCATCTCCTCTTGTGTGCCACCCTTGACCAACTTTGCGACATCGGCAGCCATCTTCTCGAAGCTGTGCTTGTACTTCAACTGCATAACCTCCTGAAGCACGGAATATAGCTCCATGACCTTGGATCTCACCATCTCCATCCGCTCGCGAACTGCCGGCAATGCCTGTAAGTTCTCACTTCCTTTTTCTTGCACAACCAGCCACTTGCCCACCATGTCTGCTAACTTGGAAACCTGCGGGATGCTGATTTCTTGATTCTCCTTGAGCACAGACTCCACCTTCCACGGCTTCAATGAGTTGGCATACTGAGCAGCTGCCTCAATGTCTGCTGCGAGGACCGCATCTGAACGGACTAGTTGGACAATATGGCCAATTCTCGAGCACACCTTCATCCCCACGGGAAACATTGCCAAGGAGGGGTACCATGTAGACGTTTTGATCTTCAGAAAGTTATTCTTCGTTGTCTCCAAATTCTCACAGACGATCGTGGAGAAGAACTCCATGTCAAAGGTGGGGCCTTTTGCCTTGGAAGCTGCTTCGGCAAGGGTCAAAAGCTTGAGCAGCTCATCAATCATAGAAGCCTTGCCGGCAGCAGCCACGGCATCTGACATGGGGCTCTGCTTCACTGCAGCCAAGAAATTCACAATGTCCTCAATGCCATCCTGAAGCTGCTGGTCCTTCTCCTCTTCCGTCTTGCCGGGAATTGGTCGCATGAAGAGGCTGGTAACACAGCCTTGGAGGCAACCGGTCTGAAACTCCAGCAACTCTGCCGTCATGGTCGTCTCAGGGCCAGCCGGCATAAGAGATCCGATGCCATCCGGATATTCCGCTTTGAAAGTAGGGTCGAGGAACTTGCACACGTCATCCCATTGCTTCTTCCCGACCAACTCCTCCGCCCTCTTGCGGCAGATGAGCACACTGACATTGGGTGGCAACGTCACCTTGCTCTCCGTGGAAAAGCACAAAGCTCTAGCAGACAAGGTCGTCGGGCTTGCTTCCGCATCGTGCAAGGCCTCCACAAAGTCGGCGGCATAGGTGAGGAACTCTTTGGCCTCTTTCAGCCCTTCCCAAGCCTTGGTCGCACGCCCTTGCGGGCCTGTGGTACGAATTGCTTCCTGGTAAATGGATGTGAGGTCATCAGTAAGCCTTGATTCCACCTTGTCGAGCAAAGAGTTCACCTTCTGCAAGGAGAGCTTGAGGACCTGCTCAGGGTCTTCAAAAGCCCACTTCATGTGCTGGCACTGGAGAGTGATTGCTTCGCTCTTTTCCAACTCTCTGGAGGCCCTGGAGTCATGGCCCTGGCCCCTGCGCTTGTTATCCTTGGGATTCGGAGGCGGTAAACTGAAAGCCAATGCCGGAGTTGTCGGTGCAGTCGAGGGAGAGCTCTCTGGAACTGCATCGTTGGACACTGCTGGATTCCGCACGGCTCGCTTCCTCGGCTTCTTCTTGGCGGGTGACTCGTGCTCATCGTCACCGCCCTTTGAAGCCTTCGAGTTGCCACCTGCATTCTACAAACTCAGCAGCATCAATTCATCTGTCAGGGTGAGGCTGATGTGGGGTTTGAAACTTTTGAGCGGAGCTACACACGACAAGTCAGTGAAGTTGCTCATGACTTTCCGGGGTATGTGTGAATAACTGAATAACTACCATGGGCACAACTCTAGCTTCCTGTGCATATCCCCGCCATATATACAACAACAAACCAACACAAGGTACCCTGACCGATACCGCCGATACCTGAAAAGCCGCAAAGCAACCCCCCCCCAGTCTCGAGCTACGACGGGGGTTTGCCGGGAGGAGAGATGCCAATGCCTGGCCACTGCCAATCATAGGAATACGTCTTTATTTATTTTGATGGTAACTATTATTGCTTGCCCAAAACTCACATAGTCACATGTCACATAATGCTTTAGAGCCCGGCTGGCCTGTCCGAGCAGCGCCTCATGCAAGCCCGAAGCTTAAATCAGAATATCAGAAACCTGAAAACGAAACTCCCAAGCCTAACCCCCTAAACCCTAAATCCTGAACCCCTAAGCACAAGCCTAAAAACCCCTGAACCCCGAAGCCTACGCCCAAGCCCAGTAGACTAAGTAGCATCTCATCTCCCCAAGGCCTCCGACGACATTCTCCCCCCACAAGATGGCGGCGAGCTCGTCATCGCTGTCAACTTTCGCCTGCTTGAGCATGATCTCCCCAGACTCTCCCGCAGTTGAAGACATCTGCAGTGACTTTTGCATTGCACCGAACATCTCGTCAGCATCACCACTTTCCTCTGAATCGTCCTTGGCCACGACATGAACCCGGCGAGCCGTTTTCGAACTCTCGCTTGTGATCTCTATGCAGCCCACCGCAAATTCCTTCAGGGTCATGCCCTTCACTTTCTTTCCCTGATGAATGATGTGCTGGCTTCGCTTCGGCATCGGCTTCTCGTGCTCCTTCAACAGCTGAAGGGGCCAAAAATAGCCCAACACCTGTTTCGTGGTGATGGAGCTACTATGCAAAGCTTCGGCTCGATCTCCACCTTCCTTGGATTTCGCCTTGCCACGAATGGAACCGTCACGACGGCTGGCCTCCCACTGGTTCAGGTCCACGATGTACTCCTTGTAGTTGCCTTCATCCTCGAGGAACGTCAGCCGCTGACTCTGCGACATGTTCTGGAAGCGGTCATCCCGTTCCATAAAGCTGAAGCACGGGCGACACTGTGCTGCTCCAACGCATCGCCTCTTCAGGAGGTCATCTGAGGCCGGATTCTTTACCATGGGATTCTTGGTGCTGTCGAAGCACCGTCTGCACGTTCGACAGCTGCTGCTCACATGGGTTTTGCCTGAGCGACGAGCCACCATGTTGTGATCCTCGGACCCCACTGCTACCAAAAGAGGAAGAAGCGCACAAGTCTGTGCCGAAAGAGCGGCCGATTGGTTAGCGAGTGCGGCTGCAAGAGTTGAACACACACACACACAACACACACACAGACAGAGCACACACACACACACACACAGCACACACGCACACACAAACACACAACGGTAGAGTCGAACTGCATCTGCTGCAGCAATGCAAATCAGAACTGGCTGCTGCTACTGCACCAGGGTTGGCAAGTTGGCAGTGGCTACCTAGAGCAGAAACACAAGGGATGGTTTTGCTTGGATTCCGGCTTCTGTCCGCAGGCTTGTCGACCCAATGGCGCTGAGAGCGAGCATCGTGAGCATCCCTGCAATTCAACCCTGGCACCAACACCGGAATCCCACGTTTATCAGCGACTCTCTAATTGCTCTTGCCCCAATATGGGCGCTTAGCCTAAGCGCCCATATTGGGGCAAGAGCAATTCGCACGGTGAGTAACCATTTTACTAATCAGCATCATCATCATCATCATCATCACCATCATCGGGGTATATAACTCCTGGGACTTCTCCCCTTCCCGTCCGCAGGCCATCGAACTAGCTGCCCAAAGCTCTTTGTTTTGCCTAGATTATGCACTCTCCGGCCCCGCCCAGATAGTATAACCTGCCAGGGCCCAAGATCGTATAATCCGTGCTTTCCCCAACTACTGCTGGGATTATGCAGTCTCCTGGCCCTCCCAAATTATGCATTCTTCCGGGCACCAAAACAGTATATTATACGACCCCCCACGGGGAGAATATTTGACCCGCAAACAGGCGGGTGCTTAAGCAAAACCACTTAGCCATTTCCTGGATCCCACGATACAACAAACAGGCGGGTGCTTAAGCAAAACCACTTAGCCATTTCCTGGATCCCTTGGTGCAGCAAACAGGCGGGTGCTTAAGCAAAACCACTTAGCCATTTCCTGGATCACGACCCATGCTATGCAAGACTTCTTCAGAGTGTTCACCCGCTGATGCTCATCATGCCCGCCACTTTTGTGGGTCAAAATGACCGAGAATGTTTGACCTATAAAACTCGCCGGGCCCTAAAGTCGAAACTTGGAATCTTGCAACACGTGCTACTATTCAAGAATAGGGGTACGACTTGGGGCGGTAGCACGCAGTCGCAAAAGAGAAGAGAGCATGCATGAATGCAGGATTCGCTCTTCACGAATGGACATCTGTTGTCTGCTGATGGGGTCGTGATCAAGAAAGAACAGTGAGCCACGAAATAAATCCGAGGTGGCTTCTTTTCTTCTCAATGACGAACCTTCATCCCCACAGATAGGCGCAAAGCTTTGCTGAGCTGGGCATGCTTCTCTTGAGACTGTACATGTGCTGAAGCTAGCCACTGCAAGAGCATATCGCAATGGCCTGAACGATTTATCCAGCAACTGCACGATTTATGGACTTTACACAATGCACGAAAACTTTCTTCCCCGGTATCAGTCTTCACTAAAAGCTTGATCTCGCCAAGTGTGCGTCTGTTCCCGCCCTGCACTCTGTCAACCACACAGTAGGAGGTGCCCCCCTCGCCGCCGCCATAGACAGCTTCAATGATGCCACCATCCTCGTCCTGTTTGATGATACGTGTCTGTGCCCTCTTTGTCTCTCTCCTTGGCCCTGCCTGACTTGAGGAGCTTGGGGCAGCCTGAGCAAAAGAGCCAGGAGGATCAGCAGGAAGTGGCCCCGTAGAAGATGAAGATGGCGATGCTCGTCCTGGCCTAGCAGAACCATCTCCGCTGCGATCTACATAGTCGATGACTTCGTCGTCTGAAGCTTCTTGCATCTGTGCCGCTCGGGAAGCTTCCTCGGGCCCTTCCGCCTCTTGACATACATTAACAGCCTGCCTCAAAGCATCGATGTCGCCCACGCCCAAGACGGCGTGCAATTCCGGGTCATCCAGAATGTCCTCGCCAGCAGCGGCAATACTTCTAACTTACAGGCTTAGAGCTTTAGGCCAGGCTTGGGGCTTTTTTGGTTTGAGTTTTAGGATTTTTGGTTTTGGGCTTTTAAAGAAAAAGGTTAAGTTACGAATCAAGTTATCGAACCCGGGTCCCTCCCGAAACTTGAACACTCGTAAACCCACAAACCCTCTATCCCCACAGGCTCCAACCTTATGGCCCCAAAAATGCCTCAAAGCAAACCCCCTCTCCCGGGCCGGGAGAGGGGGTTTGCTTTTCGGGAGTTTTGCCCCGCATCAGCCCCGTAACCGTAACCCCCAAACGCTAAGCGTCAACGTCGTTGGCTGCCGGGTCATCAGGAACGGCGGGAGTAGTCTTCCTTCTCTTGCGACTTCTTGCAGCCGGTTCGCCCGAGTCCTTCACCTCCGCCTCCTCCTGGTCCAGAAGCGAGAGGAAGTCGAAATCCCGCTCTGACGGATCTTGCCCACCTGCTGGAGCACCCTCAGAAGCATCGTTCATGCCGTCGTCGTCATCGCCAGCGCCATCCTCGCAGTCTACACCGTCTGCACGAACAAGCACTCGTGTGAAACCAGGGCTGCACCCACTAATGCATACACGGCGAGGGCTGCGGTCGTGAAAGTCTAGCTTGTTGATGACAATTTGATGCGGTGTCAATCCGAACTCATCGAAGACACTGAGCAAGTGGTGAGCGAAAGCATCAGAAGACAGCATGTGCAACCGACCCTCTCGTGCGCCGGCACTTGAAGCTGGCAGGTATTCCCGATACGATTGAACATATGGCAAGGTCCGTAAGTCCAGCAGCAATCCGGAGAATCTATCTCCCTCACCTTGAACCTCCAAGTTCTCCCGACCGACTTCGTCTGCAAAAACAAACACTTGCTCGGGTTTGTGCACCCCGCTTCTCGCAGAAACTGCTGTCACAAATGCATACTCACGCACAAGCTTCCGCCTAGATGTGTCAAAGATCTCGAACGAGCACACAATGTCTGCACGTACTGCATCCAATGGCTGCCCGTAGCACTGCACAATCTGGAGAAAAGCCTTCGTCAAGTTGCAATGAAGATGAATACCTGGGCTTTTCATATTTCGGGTCCCAGAATGCCAAGCTACATGGCTAGATACATCGTATGGTCCGTATGGCGTATGTATATGATATATCTAGAAGCCAGCCCTAGTTACACGTCTCCAAACAATCATCCGGCATCCGTTCGCAACAACACACTAAAATCAAAAAGTCTTATGCCAGAATCCCTTCCCAAGTCCAGGAGACGATGGTGATCACCTGATGAGCGGCACAAATGTCCGCAGCAAGACTCATACTGAACCTTCTTCGGAAACTCGTCGCCATCTGGAGGGCGTGCGAGACGCTCCATTTCACAATCAAACTTCGCGACGGCCGCAGCACTCGTGATGCCATGTTGCCGCTGGAAACATGCAATGGATTCCAGAGCTTGCTCGGATACTGGGAAACGATGGTGAGAAAGCTTCCCTCTGCCTGGGCCTGCATCACTCATGGCTGCTTTAATTTTGGACTCCAGCTCGCAAGCATTTCGAGCAGTCAAAGCTGTTTCCAAAGGCAGGACACCCAGCAACGACGGCACAACCGCACCGGCACCGGAATCAGGCAAACTCACAACCGGTCTGTTTGCTGCTGCCTGGTGAGGCTCGTGAGGCGGCCTGTCCGGAAGGGCAGGCACGTGTCTCCGTGCTTGCAGAGCAGCTTGCTTGCTTGCAACTGACAAAGCCTTGAAATTTTCTTGCTGCTCCTCAGACAACATTCCCCATGCCTGGCGAACCTGTTCCCACGAGCTGTGCACACAAGGATTGAACGCCGAGGAAGTGAGTCGCTGCTGGCAAATCCAATGAGCTCTGAAAATTTCAAATGGTGACTTGCCTTTGGCCTTCTTCTTTCTCTTATCCTGGATGACAACATCCCGACTACCTGTTGAGCTCAAGCTTGCTTCGCCCGTGGCTGCTTTCGCTGCCTTGGCGGCCTGTCTTGAATTCAACAAGGCCTCCGAGTTGATAAACTTTGAGGCGATTGTGCTGAAGCCACAATCAGTGTTTTGGCGATTCAAAGCATGTTTCACCTCAACATCTGCTATGGACCACTGGATGCAAGAAGCATACCAATAAAGCGATGATTTCCAACTGGACGATTGCAATTCCTCGCAAGACACTTGCCGCTGCTTCAGTGCCCGGGGCAAGCCGCCGGGCACACAACAGACTCGCTTCCGGCGCCATCCTTCCAGAAACGATTCAACCATGCGAGGGCAGGCATCGGGGTCTGCAACACAAGCAATCGCAAACATATCGGAGCTGATATACTCGTAATGGCGGCGGTATTGCCAGGCGCAAGCAAAGAGAAGCACCCTACGGATTTCCCGCACGAGGCCTGGCTCGGACCGACAGAACCGATCGAAGGAGTCATAACCCAAAGGCATCCATAGCAAGCACAATCGACCAAGCCCATCTGTTGTGCATAGCAAGCTGCTGTAGTGCTGCATGAGACTGACCAAGATGCTTTCCCTCGGGTTCAACATGCTAAAGAGTGGAGGCCGCTCACCGGGAGTCAAGCTCTTGCCGAGGCATGAGATCCAGTACCACGTGAGCATGCGATTCGGCTCAAGGGCTACACATGCCAAGGACACGCCCCACTTGGCATGTCTGTCTTGCAAGAACTCCCTAGCAGACTGCAATCGTCTACCGTTGACAGCATGGAATGCAAGTGATTCCACAAGCCGAGGGTCAACATCTGCTGGGGTTGGATCAAACTCTTGAAAGCTCATTTCCCCAAAAGCCTCAGTAAAGATCTCCTGCAACCAGTTGTGAACAATGCTTCCCGAGAGAATGAAATCGAGTGGTCCGAATAATTTGGACCATTTCGACGGTGCAGGCACCGCCGGCATCGAGGTCAGGAACAAGTCTATCATGGCCTCGGCGCATTTCCGCACTGCTGACTCCCGATGAGAGCAATGTCGCTGACCAACAGAAACATCCAAGCTGGAACAGATGTGACACGGGGGGCCGACAATGGGTCCGTTAAACATGTCCAAGAAAGTAGCTGCTGCACGATCAAAAGCGGATTCGCCGTCGTCCTGAGCAGTCTCTCTACGTTCATCTTCCGGTGAGCGACAGTCTTTATCAAGCTTTTTCCAAAAGCGAAGGTAGCTGATCAATTCACGTAGTGCAGGATTCGGCTGAACGTGTGAGGCGACGTCGCTAGCAGTAACCTGCTGGCGAAAAACCAGATTTCGATCAAGCCAAGAACGGACAGCCTGTCTCATTCGAAGCCAATACCCCAGGTTGCGGATGAATACAGTGAGTCCGTAAATCCTGTTCAATGAATTAGAACCGATGAGCCCCAACAGTGCAGCATTGTTCAACTGCACCGCATGATTCATGCATCTGCAATGTGCAAACAGGACAGGATGCCGTGAGCCTGGCGGCCCGAAAACACTCAACTTGGCCTTCTGAGACAGATGTGCCAACAGCCTCAAGTTGCTGCTTGCACCGTCTGTCTCAGCTATGTCGATGTTGACAAGTGCAGTTCTTCGAAGCAGCCCCACAAGTGCATTTATGCACTTGTAAGCTGGGTGGTGCAGCAGTGCGTAATACTGATGCTCCGCACCTGTCGCCAGAAGTGTCACCGGAGGCATCACCACTCGGCACACAACATTGGTGCCATTGGGCCAAACCACCACTAACCTCATACGACAAACCAAGACTTGCCAGCTGGAGCGAACACGGCAACCAGACTTGTCAGCATTCATAGTACACTGAAGCTGCGTCTCATCCCACTTGAAATGCTTTATGACAAGCAACGGCGGCTCAGCCAGACACCATTGTGCAAGTTTTGCAAGAAAGTTGGCTTGATGATTCATAAATGCGGCGCTTACTGTGATCTGCATGCGCCTGACAGTTGATTTGGCCACCCCTACATGCAGAGCCAACGAAGCATTGCGATGAATCTTTCCAAATGAAGCCTGCAAAAATTGCGACCACGACAGACTTCGCTTGTATCGATTCCCCTTGGTACTGACTTGGGTCAGTTGAAGAGCGAGGCCCATGGCCTGTGGGGCACGAGCAACCCGAAGCTTGATGACTTCAGAATTCAATACGAACTGACTTTCTGAAAGGATATCGCTGACATCCTTGGAAAACTGCTCCACCCGCTTCGACAGCTTCACCGATCCTGAAGATGTGCAAGAACGAAACGCAAAGATCATTTGGATGCCGAAGTTCTCTGACAACATCGAATCAAAGAACCCTCATCAACCCCACTTCTTTATCGGACTAGCTACCCCAAAAGCCTACCCCAAAAGCCTAAGCAAGTAACATATAACATACACTTTGAAAACGAGCATCTACAGTTTTAGTAGCCAATCAAGGCTTAACTACGGCTGATGGACAAAATCCTGCATGACCCTAAGGACTCTAAACTATGGGAATTATGGTATATTCCTTATAGTGGGTAATGCAGGATTTTGTCCATCAACCGTATGACGCTGAGTTGCTCATATGACAAGTCAACAGCGATCGTTCAGCGAAGCCACCATGACGGCCTTTACCAACCTTCCCCTTCATCTGTGGATATCTTGTACGTGCTCGGAAAGTAGGTTGCACCGCGGGCACTACAGCAAGTTCTGCTTCTGGCGCAAGCAACTCCATTGCCGCAGCGCCGATTTCCGCCACTCTGAACTCACTGCCGTCACCATCACGTTGGACATCACATGTTTCTTCATCTTCCAGCAAAGATAAGAAGTCGACATCCATGGCAGGTAGTATACCGGAGAGTTGGAATACGGGAAAGAACCAAATCTAAGCCTTAGATTTGGGGATAGTATACATATATCATATATCATATACATACCTGCTACAGATAGATAACACAGATACACACAGATATATATCTAATAGGATTCGGAATGTCGAGCCGTTGCAGCCGCGACCGTGTCGCGTGCAATCATCCTGACAGGCAGCAAACCTAGCCGAAGTACAGAATTCAGCCGTATAAGAAGGGGCCTTTGAATGGATAATAGAGAACCTCTGAATGTATAACCAAGGGCCCGAGAATGTATAATGGAAGACCTCAGAATGTATAATAAGGGACCTCTGAACGTATAGTAAGGCACGCCTGAATGTATAGTGAGAGACCCCCGCTGGCTGGATAGATATCTTCTAAAGACAGCCCTCAAGAACGTGGTAGAGGGCACTACCAATGTATATATGTTTCGTTTGAAAGAAACTTAAAAGGATCCCTTGCCTGGCCTCGTAAAAAAGGCCAGCCCCCATCCAAGGGCTCCCTACAGGAGCCCAAACAGCTGCAAACACCGGCACAAACTTCACAACCTGCACATGCGAGGCTACAAGTCAAACAACTGCATGCACATGAGACAACAAGGCTTTGCATGGTTTTCCTGAAGCAAACGAACCTTGAGTTGACTAGCACCCCAGGCTTCCTCCGTTGGGAGGACTGCCCCTGGCTTTTTGCTGCCCTTTTGGCAGCCGCAGTCGCCTCAGCCTCCTGCAGCGGCAGGGGATCCAAGGGCCGGGCCTTGGCCCCGGCTTTTTTGACAAGCGAATACCTTCTGTCGTCGCCTGTCCGTTGAGCCTGGCGGCCTTGGCCGATTTTCACGACTTTGTCCTTCGCAGCAGTTCCCTTAGGAAAGCTTTGCCGTGCTCTAGTCTGAAAAGACTCAGCAGTAAGCACGGCATTTTGTGTTGCTTCAAAGAACAGTGCCATATCATCCAAGTGGACTTTGGGCACATCCGTGACATGGCCCGCCTCCAGGACACGGATCTCCTTTCCCATCCAGGTAACCTTGAGCACATTCTTTTCTGCTCTTGCTTCCCTGGAAGCACGGCGGGACAAGCGAGTCTTCGCTGCTTTTCTCGGAGAGCTGCCTGTTACAGACACTAGAGCAGCCTCGCTGTCTTCCCCGCCGAAAAGGCCAGAGCTCTGTTCTTTCAGTTTCTCTGCCTGCCGCTTGGACTGCTGCTCCTTGGAGGCATCGTTTCGGGAGCCCACGAGCGATAGATAAACATCGCTCTGGGACAACGATGACTTTGCCGGGTATTTTGGCAGTTTTATGCTATGCTGCTTAGAAAGCAGCTTGCACAAGCCCGGGCTCCATGGACGAAGTACCACAAACGGACCATGGTCCGTTGGTTCTAGCTCCTTGTCACCCACAGTCCAGCTGGCACCATCCAGCTTCAGGACATATACTCTTTCGATTACCAGCGGCATTGTACCTATATTAGCCTTGAGCCGAACTTTATGGAAAGATCAACAACACGTGCCTGCAAACCATCCTTGAATTCACACTTGCAAAAGCGCCAAAAAGTTCCATTGCAGACATCAACCTTGGCTCCTTTTCCCGGAAAACTCAGCAAGCGAGAACTGTCGAGTAACTCAAGAAGCCTTTCGCTTTCGCGAGGCAGCGGATCCTTGATCCAGCTCTTGGGCCGAGGCCCTCAAACTTTCGGCAGGCTTCGGCCTGTACAGGATGCACTCCTTCAGCGAAGCAGTGTTCTTCAAAATGGGAATCTTCCAGCCCTTCTCGTTCAGAAGGACTGTCGCCAGATTCGGCTCTGAGCCGACCGGGATCTGCCAGAAGGCAGATAGCAAACTTCCGGCTGCAGCCGGGGGTGAAATATACAAGCTTGTGCCCGAGGCCGAATGCCAAACCTCCACACTGCCAGCTGCCGGCTTTAAGCCAACCTTTGAAATCTGATCCGTGAAGGGGAAGATCGTCAGCTTGCCTGTCTTGGCTTTGCCCTCCAACAGACAGCACGTGGGATTCTTCAAAAAGGTCAACTCCTCTTCACAGTGCGAGTACTTCAGGAAATACTCGCAGCAGAGCTCGAAGAACTCTCCTCGGAGTCTCTCTTGGCTGCAAGCCTCCGTATTATGGGGCAGTCGGTCCACAGAGTCAGACACCACTTCGGGTGCATCTCCGCTATACAGATCGAAAAATTTCTTGAGCTCGCTCAGAGGCACCTCGACCTTCTTGTCCCAGCTCACTGGGCAAGACAGCGAGAAAGAGCCGTGGCTCTGGCCGATTTTCTCCAGCTTCCAAGGCCAGATGTCCTGATACTTCTGCTTGCCTTTGTACAGGTTCCCCTCTGCGAAGCCTTGCAGCTTCATCAGGAAGGCCGGGTCCTGCATGTTCTCCAAGGTCGCAGGGGCCGCATCAGACGGCCCATCTTTTGTAGCAGCAGCCGGTGTTGCACCGGCACTCTTGCCACCCATCTCGTGTTCGTACAAAGTCAGCAAATTGGCCAATGACCCGTGCTCAAGGCCTTCTTGCCCCGACTTCTCTTTCTTGCACATGAAGAGGGTGCTGCGAACCATCAGGCGACCGAAGCACTCAACTGCCTTGGCACGTGCACTTGCATCCGTCACATTCTGAGTGTGAGCCAAGGCACGAGCAAGAAGCTCCTCCCAATCCTTTACAGCATCTTCCATGCCTTTCGCACAGAGCCTGCTGACATCGCTCTTGCTCAGCAGCCGAGCCACACCGTCTACCACTTTTGTGGCTGTCAGGTTCGTCGCGATCATCGCAGCCCTTCCTCTCCCAATCTTTTGCTTGCCCCATATTTCAAGGAAAAGTCGTGCAAAAACTTCAGCAGAGGTGCTTCAGTTCCTCCTGCATAGAATCTGCAGAACAACCCGCAAGCGGCCACGGTCTGTGGCGAGGCATCCGGCACCGTGGCTGCTACATCAGCTTGCACAACATCCCAGTCGATGCACAAACCCTGCTCTGCCAGCAACTTTGCTCGGGTCACCATCGCCATGGCGAGCTCCAGCTCGCCTGCCGCTCTTGCAACTCCTTGGGCTGCATTCATGACTTCCTGAACGAAGGAGGCCAGCGAGGGCAGTACTGCATCAACTTCCGCTGACAGCACCAGCCACTCCCATCCATTATCCACGGCCTGCCGAAAGTCCGTAGACAATCGCTGCAACGTGAGCTTGCCGTTGTCCGACACCGTCTCTTGGTCCGAGGGACATGCTGCAATGCAGGCACGGCCAAATGCCGCAAAGTGACTGCATGCTAACGACATGTATCGCTCATCGCCTCGCACCTCAGCTAGCAGCCCTCCATTCATATCCACTTGCCGCTTGTTGAAACTAAAGGCCTTTTGGCTCAGAGCTCTATCCGTGGATATTTCCATGCAAACACTTCGCTTCAGCTCCATGGAGCTGAAGCCTACAGATTGCACTTGGGCCCCTGTCTTGTGAACTTGGGCTCCATTCAATCCTAACCCTGAGCGATTCGACGGGTGCACCAGGACTTGACCCGGCCGCAGCACCTGCCTGTAGCACTTCCTGCTCTCCTGCAGGATAGTTTCGATCTCCGTCCATCTCTCCAATGCCGGAGCATCTTTCTTCAATGCCTGCTCCACGGCCGTAGCCCAGGCAGGCTTCATCTTTTCCAAGTTCTCTTGACAAAAACGGCTGCATGGCAACAGGATACGCATTTAATTGTCCGCCCTGCCCCCCCCCCTGTATACATGCACCCTTGAAACACAAGTCATTTACGTGCCTAACATAGTCATTTCCCTATATAAGAACTGTACTTCAAAAAGTTATGTTAACTTAGCTAAACTTTAGCTAAACCCCCTAACCTTTGTAAATGTTTAACATACTTACACCACTTATGTAAACACTTAGCTAAGTCTCTTAACAGTTGTATTTGTTTATCACACTTATAAGTGATTTGCAATATAGATACAACCGGGTTGCAAGCTATTTAACAACATGCTTGCAATCTATATAAACACTTACAAAGCCACGGTTCTTCCCAGTAGGGCTCGTCGGTTGGGCTGGGTCTGGCGCGGTCTGGCTGCTGTGTGGTGTCCCCGCTTGGCCATGTTGGCTGCCAGTGGCTTGCCCTGTCGGCTGTGTCCCCCTTTGTGGGGAGCAGGTGGCGATTGAGGAGCTCTGCCCAGTTGGTGTCCTCCTCCGCGGGTCTCGTCTGGCTACGCTGGCCAGGTGGATACAACCACTTTAGGTGCTCTGGTTTAACCCAGCCGCGCTGTTGAAAAGCGGCTTGCACGGCCGATTTGTGGTTTTTATTCCTCGTCCTTTGTTCTCCGCGGCCTTCGGACCATCTGCTTTGCCTATCCGCCCTGCCGGATGGCGGTGGCTCCGTCTCTCTGGTCTCCTGTTGGTGGCTGGAGCTCGCCGCTGCTGCAGTGGAAGCGGGTGTGTGTGAAGCGCTGGAACCTGCTGTGGTTGGGTGTCGGGTGG